GCACCAAATAAGTTTAAAATCTGTAACCTCAGACACCACGGAAGAAAACATTAATCCACTTAGTAAAATACCCAGACCTCCCCATCTCGATTTTTAGTTCTTCTTAATGTAACATTTAGTCATTGCAGCTGGCTCCGCATACTAGCCTCCCTCCTTTTATTCTGAATCATATTGGCCTTGTTTAACCTTCATTTCCTTTCCTACCCCCCACATTTGTCCACGGACTTTTCTTTGACCATGTTTCTCTCTCTCTCTCTCTCCCTTTCTTTTTGGTGCCTGGGTTGAAAGCAATAAATAGAGCTTTCTCTGGCTTAATGCTTTCTGTGAAAATCTCCCTCTACCTCACCATTCCACTATTAATGCTTTTTGTACAGGCTTTTTTATGCATCCTTCAGCTGTGGAGTTACGGCTCTATATTTTTCTGATTGATCATTAAGTTCTGCTGGTTTTTGAGAACTGCCGCCATAATCCTGAAGCAAAGGCTCTTTACTTGGTGTGTTTTTGCCTTTGGAATGTCTCTGCTGGCAAGAACAGGCATTTGGGTTTGACTACGAGTCTTAAGTTACAATTCAAAGCTAATTTGTTCGGTTAGGCCTCTGCTGTGAGCGGCTCTGGCTCTCACTGTTAAGTGCTCCACGATGCTGCCTAGTTGAAGGGTGGGTTGTAAGTACAAGATGCAATACACTTATATTGTACGTGATTATCAGTTTTCAAAAACAGCTGCATGCTTTGATATCTGTGTAAGGAAATATCAGAAGATAATATGCCATTGGTATTTATTACTCTATAATTAAGGATGTGTCAGTGTTTTCTCAAAGCAGGGTGGGTGGGGGGGGGGGAGGGGACAACAACCACCAAAAACCAAAAAAAATAAACCAACCTATTTTCAGAAATTCATATCTTAGGCATACAACTCCCTATGAATTACAGTTTAATACCATATTAGAAGTATCTTCTTTTCAAGTTATCCCTCCCCTTCCTTTTCTTAAGTAAGTTTCGCTGGATGTGATTTCCGGGTTGGCTGTTTGGGATGAGAGGAAATAAGCCCAATGCTGCAGAATTAAAGATGCTACTCCTCCTGCTCCATGACCCTTTGCATGTGGGTACAGGGTTTTGGATATAGTCTCATTTACTAGCAACTTCACCGTTCTATAAATTGAACAACAATAAAAATGTTTCAACTGCTCAAAGATACAACAGGTGCCACAGTGTCTGCAGTTTGAGTGCCAGGAATCAATCCTTTTGCATTCTTTTCTGTGGTCATTTAGCACTGGAGTGCAGCCAGGAGTAACGTGGCGTCAATCTGCAGTGAGGTATTATATCAGTCCGTCCTTCATCAGTAAGTACTCGTCAACATAAGAGCAGCTAAAGTGAATGAAGGACATGATGGAATACGGATCAAGATGTTTCAACAAATGGGTGCAAGACTGGAAACGCCCGGCGTCTATGCCCCACCCCCCTAATCCTCCTGGTATTTCTACTCTCCTTGTTGGCCCTGAGGGGTTTATCTATCCTGGATTCTATGTGTTGTGGGCTCTTATCTGTCGCAGTGTGCATGCTCTGGTCCAATCCGATTTTTAAGGATGAGTTGAGGTCATGATAGTGGGGGGAAGGAAGCACCAAAGAACTAGAGGAAAGCTGTGTGTTTCATCAGTGCTCTTCTGCACCCTGACTGGCTGATCTCTTTCCTGTGACCCCTCTGTGAGGGAATCTCCAATTGTCTACAGATGGGCATTGGGTCTCCACTTCATGCCCCACCCCTTCCTCCCCTATTCATCTTGGGTATAGTTTTATTCTGGGTCTTAGATGCCTGATACCTGATCCCATTGACACCTCATGATCACACCGGCTGGTGTGCGTCTTCCATGTGGCTTTGTTGCTTCTCAGCTAGATGGCCGCTTGTTTACCTTCAAGCCTTTAAGACCCCAGATGCTATATCTTTTGATAGCTGGACACCATCAGCTTTCTTCACTACATTTGTTTATGCACCCATTTTGTCTTCAGCGATGGTGTTGGGAAGGTGAGCATCACAGAGTGCCGGATTGTTAGAACAAAGTGTTCTTGTGTTGAGGGAGTATTTGAGTCGTGGCCCAATGGATCTGACCACTTTTTAAGTTGTCCTGCTTCTCAATTCAAATATTGAAGTGAAACATGTTCTAGCCTGTGGTTTATAATATACTTCGTTGTTATTTCCACAAGTTCATATTACATACTCTCCAGTCTTCTATTGAAACAGAAAGGCAGTCAGGGTGATATCTGTCATTAGTCAATAGAAACGACTCATAGACTATGCACACATTAAAGGAAAACATAGACTTCCATTCTGGAAATTGATTTTATCACTTACAGAAAGTGTTTTGAGACTTAAATGATAATTCTGTTGTGGGTCAATATATTCTTGCTATCAGATGATTTCTCAAAAACAGATTTTACTTACAAATAAATCAAATAAAATTAACACTTTCAACATAAAATGACATCTTTGCTTCCAGATGCATTTCAAGGGGTTGAAATTCATAAATGCAGTTCTCTATTACTAAGAATTTCCCTTAACTTACCAGTTCTACTACCATCTTCATGTGTCAAGATCTGTAGAATTATGAGTGATAACTGGGCACTTCAGCCAAACTGGGTTTGGAAGGGTGCTTAACAAAACTGGAGTATTTTATACCAGAAGAACTAGATGGCACCTGGGACAGCTCTGAATGCGAAACGCAATAGCAAGTCTTGGATCACGTGTGAGACATGCAGAACAACACTCAAAATCATAGAAGGGACCAGATTCACTAGCTTATCTGAGAGGGACTGGCAGAAGCTTGAGACCTTGGCCCTTAGACATTCTTCAAACTTTGAACTGAACCCACTCTGGGGGACCACTTTTCAGTCAACCAAGTGACAGATGTTTATAGTAACAATAAGACCTATGAGCAGTTAGAGGGAAAAATGTATATGGATAGTTGTGCATAGAATGTCTTTTCTGCTATACAATCTGAGCCCGTTATTTTCAGAATAATCAACCACATGAGACCAAAAGAGCAGACCATAAACAAAGCTCAGAAGGTGGGCAGGGTGCAGAAAGATGGGTGAACAGAAACAGGGAGCACAGGAAGAAAGGGGCTCTCGAAGTGATTGCGTTGACTGCAACTCATGTCATGAAACAAAACATGCATTAGATGTATTAGCTGTGGAATAGAAAAATAATTTGCTCAGTAAAACTTCACACAAACCACAACAAAACAGACAAACAAAAATCAGGAGCATGTTGAGAAACATCCTTCCCTGTTATCTTCCTGATGAACATGTTCTCAATAAGCTTGTTAAGAACTCGGATGTCCTGTTATTATAGAAACACCTGGCCAGTAATATAGTTCATGGCTTATCGTACAGTGAGTTCAGGGCAGGCATCCTAGACGTGGTATGAGAGGTCTTGACAATGAGCAGACTTTTAAATGTATTTAAAATTGAAAATGAGTTCATGGTTAAAAGATGAAAATGAACAGAATATGGAGTACTGAAAACAAAGAGACACAATATAGGAAATTTCGGGCCTCGACCTCTGTAGTGATAGTAGAGGGAACAGGGAATTAAAGAGTTAACTTGCAATCTCAATGTAGTCCAACATCAATGAAATACGCGATAAGTCCCTTAATAACACTCCACTCTACCATATTATGAGTGTTAAGCATGAGAATGCGCATCCTAGTCACATCTCTTCAAATGTTCAGAATTGCACATTTCCAAAACTTTTTTTATTGCTTATGTGCATCAATACCAAGAGCTGACAACATGGTTTTAGAAAGTGGTACATTTAAGGCAAGTGTTTATCTAAAAATGAAGGCTGAGCACAGCTACAGTGTTTGATTTAAGTTTTAGATAGGAAAAAAACCCAGGTGATGTTCAATATGATATTCACCCAACTATGGAAAATATTTCAACGTGTTAGCTGTCTTATCAGAACCGCAGCTAATGTCCACCCCCCAACAGTTAGAGGGAAAACGTGTATAAGGACAGTTGTTGTGCACATAATGTCTTTTCCACTATAAAACCTGAGCCCAGTATTTTCGAGATAGAACAGTATGGTCTAAACAGTGTCTCTTGGCTGCAAGGGCATATTACCTAGGTCAGGCAGTATCAATGACACAGTGGCTTCCTATTGAAGCAAAATAACTGGTATAGGTCATCTTGTTAGACGAAAAACCCATCCCAGAAAAAATGGCCAAGGGCCTCATTCATATCTTTACTTCTGCTCTCAGAGGGAACACACCTGCCAGTTTCCAGCTTCTGGAGTCTTAGCCTCGGAGGAACAATCCATGAGTCCTTAGTTTTATGGGGGACGGGGTCATTTGTTCAGTGTCTTCCCCAGGAGCGAGGATGTGAATTATGAATTGTGTACTGGGTAAGGGGGCAAGAAGCCCCTGTCCAAAGACACAACAACTGTTACGGCTTTAAAATTCCCAGGCTCCGTGGATGCTGAACTGCTTTCTTTGATCTGCAAGACTGCCTGTATCCCAGGAGCTGACCTTGATCTATTTCTTGCTTACAATTGTGCTACCTGTCAAACGGATGCGGCTGGATTTCTGAGCCACTGCCTACTCAATCTCAGTTAACTGCTAGACCGTTCAATTCACCTGGAGTCCAGAGAGTCAGATCTGACCCTCCCCCCCCACCCCCATTTCAAGGCCCTTCCCCCGTACTGTTCCTTGCTCTTCAGTGGAGAAGTTACTCATTTCAAAAGCAAACAAAGTTACAATTTACCTGTCAGTAAACAGAAGATGGTTTATCAACAGACTTTACCTTAATGACTACAAATGTTTACCTCCTGCTTTCCAGAATGCAAAGAAAATCTTGGAAATGTCATAATATCTTGCAAACATTTGCAAAACAGATCCTTGTTCATCCAGAAAGGAAACAATTGAATTCGTTGTCTCTGACACAAGGAAGTGTTCAGTGAGAAGTAGACAGATAGATGTACACACTTATACGTAAATGAGATATGCTAATTAAAAATAGCAGTGGGTACTTTATTAAAAATTTATTTAACAATCTGACTGTTCAAAACATCTTTACATCAACAAATACAGCTGCTTGATATTGGAATTATAAAGTGACTTATCTTGAAAGATTGTATTTGTAGCCGGATGCAAATATTTTTAGAGTACTTATATCAAAAGCTCGTTTTGTTAGAAGTTGATATTTCTAGTTTTAGCCCAGAAGAAAAAGAAATTTAGAACAAGTCTCTCCGTGTTCATTTCATGGAAGAGATGGCTCTACTTAGTGTACTTCTGATGTTTGTCCGAATTACAGCTGTTTATCTTGCAACTTTCTTTAAGATTAATTAAATGCAAATGTAACACTGTGAACCATGGGAATACCTGCCAGACCCCTTATTAATACCTTCACTTAAAAACCCCTGTGCCGGAGAGTCATTAATTTGCTAAAAGAAAAGTGCTAAAGCAGCCCTTTTCCCACAAATAATTCTGAGAGGGCTGCCCAATTAGTCCGGTAGCATTCTGATCCTCCTTTCAGACCCCGTGGCCCTTTGAGGACACAAGAAGGCTCCGATGATAACCTGGCAACCTAGGTAGAAACCCAGCCAAGTGTGAGCTTTTGAAGCTGCAGTTTGGCTGCCATCGTGTCGGCGAAGAGAAAGAATTCAGGCACCATGTCATCCAGTACAAAGGATAAAAACAGATTCAACCGGAAATTCAATGTGGCACCACATATGGGATACATGAGTGCGGTTATACAACAGGCCACATATTTTTTTTGAACAGTCTCCTACATGTGATGCCGAGGACATGTGTAACCATCCGAACGTCTCTGGGAGTCTGTCTTTAATTTGAGTTGGGGTGGTGGCAGGGCTTGGAGATCTGAAGCCGCCACAGGTTTGTGGCAGATGGCTCTGTGTCAGCTATGACAAGCAGCCAGGCTCAGCTTCCTCTGCAGACTTTCTTTGCTCTCTGATCAGGTAAATATGGGCACACTCTGGAAAGTTCTACAGATTCTGCCTTAGGCTGCAAGTTTGTGACTTAGCCCCATCTGTCACAAATCTTCCTTAGGTTCTGTTCTAAGCAGAGACCTGAATTTACCATGTAGGGCTGCCCAAGAAAACGGCGCCGTTTCACCCTGTAAGGGGGAGGGAGAGAAGAGAAAGAAATGAAGACGCATTAGGGATGGAGAAACCAAAGCCTGCTGAAAATCCGTATCACGAATTTGAAAAACTCAGATCAGGAATATTAAAAAACACACAAAAAGACTCCCACCAAGTGAATGGTTCTCAAGTTTCATCATCTCAGAAGGAAAAAAAAAAAAAAATCCCAGTATCTGATTGGTTTAAAGAGTAACTGCATTTCCACCCATAAGGGGAGAGCTACTGTTGTCGCAAATGGGCACATTCCGTGGTACACGTATTTCCTGGTTTATGTTATGGGTGACAACTATTAGATATTCATCATCCAAATTTAACTTTTATAAACACAAAATACACATCATCTGAATACACGGGTTTTTTTGCTCATGTGCACTTTACTTGAAAGTGGTGAGGGAAGAAGATAAATACCATTACTTTTAGGTGGAATTTATAAAGGCCTTCAAGTTTACAGATAGGTTTATATTCATTATTTCATTATGGCAGGACTGGGGTGGGGTGGGGGGAGCTATTAAGATCTGCTAAAAATTCTTCCATTTTACAGATGTATCGCAGAGAAGCCCAGAACATTGCCTAAGCCAGACGGCAAACTGATCTTACTCAGCCAGAATTCATCTATGGGGCTGTAGATTACAAGAATTTATTTTTTAATTAAGGAAAACTGAATCAAGTAAAATCAAGGGAGGGGAGCATACAGGAAGGAAGGAAAGGTTAAGAAAGGGGAAGGAGGAGAGATGAGAAGGCTAGAGAGAGACAGAGAGAGAGAGAGAGAAACAGGGAGACTTGGTCTTAAATTATGTTGGTTCGGTTTTCAGTTGTCCTTTAAAATGCCACTCGCTTTAAAATTCTCATTTTTAAAAAAATGCCTGAATTCTCCTTCTTATTTTTTTTAAAAAGTCATGACTTTGGAGGAGCATTAATACCAGAAGCAACACCTTACTCTCATCGAGGGCATAAGCCGCTGTTGGACGGGGGCTCCTGAAGGAAACTACAGGTGGCTTGGGTGTGGCTCAGGGAGATCGAGCCTGCCACAACTGAGACAACCACAAATGGCTTTTCTGAGCATTGAGTCTGAACTGCAATCTTCATCAGTGTTTGGAATCAGCTTTAGGCAGAAATTTGAAAATTTTTCTCTCCTTCAAATAAGAGATTATCAAGGTTTTGTAAATGCTGTAGAACTTGAAGAGAAGAACAATGTCCAGAGCAGCAGCCATCATCTGAGAGTAAGGACAGGTCGTTCTTGAGACAAAGGGGGGCAGAATGACACCCCTCCACCCCCCACAGTGAATGTCACTCGATGTATTCTTAAAAGAAACCGAGAAATAGGACAGGGATGAGAACCCTTTCCCTTAGTTTGAGCCCCTTCATTTGTACTTTGGCGCAATTTTCAATACCAGTAGTGGATGTGTGGCCATAACATTTCTTTCTAAGACTAAAAAACATAATGACCTAAGTAAGGAAGGTTCTCTAAAAACATGAAGTACTGGTTTCAACTAATTGTTGGGGATTTTTAGTAGTTAAAAATCACAAAGTGAAAATGCGGCAGGGGAAATACAAGTTCAAGGTGTTCAACTTGTTTGGGCTGGAGAAGAACATTTATTCATGTAGAAAGTCAAGCCTTGGCTGCTTACCTACTTCTATGATGGCATCTAGGAACTCGTGTTCAAATTAGCCCTGGGGATATTTTGTTAAAAACGACAACCTTAAAAGGGCCCCAACCCCTTTTGCTACTAAGTGGAGTCCAACTCCTAGCAACCCTACTGGACAGAGTGGACGGTGATGTCCAAGGCGTTGTGGAGTAGGTTATAAGCTCCTAACCAGAAGGTTAGTGGTTCAAAGCCACCGACTGCTCCACGGTAGAGAGATGAGGCTGTTTACCCCCACAAAGAATAACAGCCTGGGAAACTCAAAATGGCTGTTCTATGGGTTGGGGGTGGGGGTTGTCTCTGTGAGTCAGAATCGACCCAACGGCAGTGGGGGTTGGTTTTATTTGGATCAATCCTCAGGGAAGCAGACTGCCACGTCTTTCTTCCACTGACATTCCACTGATCAGCTGAGTGCTTTGGTCACCGTGCCACCTGGGGTCCTTTGGGAGTCACAGGCAGGGAAAATTCAAAAGATTCATGGAAAAATTCCATGAATCTTTAATTCAACTATTTCCATGACCTTTTGAAGCTTCCTTATACCTGTTTCTTACTGGGGAGGAAGTGGGACCTATCATATCTTTGACAAGTCATGTGGCCAATGTATGTCCTCTACCCAGAAAGGACTATGTCCTGAATGCATAAGAATGCTGTAGTCAGTGATTAAACTATAGATGCTAACTTATTAAGAAAGTGGCACAGCTAACGTTTGATGTTTGCATGACTCAATTTTCTTAAGGATCTAATAAAAATATGTGTATGTGTGCATGTGTATGTGTGTGTAGGCAGGGGGGACGGAGAATGGATCCTGTACATAAGCAATTCAAACATTTCACACCTGAAACCATTTCAAAAAACCGTAAGCACCTATAGTAGGAAGAGTTACCTTCAGAAAAAAGAAAAGAGATAAAAACAAAAGCCCCTCAAATTCTGTTTCTGCTTTCCCCCTACGAGCCTTCCAGTTCCCATCCCACTCCAAGACCCCCACTCATAACGGAAGGGAAATGCCTCGGGTGTGAAAAAAGCCAAGTGTTCATAGCCTGGTTCTAGTCACTGCATTTCTAAGTGTAAATCCATATGCAAAATCTGATTCTAAGTGGAACTATATATGATCAGCAGTTGAGAGGATTTTACAATGTAAACTTACAACACACACACAGGTGTAAAAATGTAAAAGGAATAAATTCAGTGACATTCTATCCTTTTAGATGTTAGAAGCCTGTTTTACAAAAGCAAACCAGCATGGGCCAATGCAACAATTCTAAAAGAAAATAGGAAAACATGCTTGTTACAGCACACAGAGAAGCCTCTTCTGTTGTACTAACAAGAGCTGATAACAAGTTGCTTTGAGAGTAATCATCCTTTGGCAGTTAGTGAAAACGAACATCACCTGTAAGCGTGTACTTTATGAAGAGAACGGTAGTAAGTATCACGATTTACTATCTCTCAAACACAGTACATGTAGAAGACACGCCTTCCTGGTTTGGCTGTCCATCTTATTACAGTAACTGCACTGAAAGCCATGGTCATTCTGGTGGCCACTAGTCTGGGGGCCTTGTCACAGGCCAGCATTTGCTGATGGTTGCATCACAGGGCCCTTGATTATTTAGGAAGCTTGGACTAATTCATCTCTCTCTGAAATTGCGATTTAGGCACCATTATCGTGAAGAATTATAAATGAGGACATATGTGAAAATACATGCTAGATTTACAAGGCAACCATCCCAGGTAGCAAACACTTAGATGTTAATCACACACATACATTCTCATGAATGCTTACACATAATTAATAATTTGTAAAACTCTGAGACGGAACATTTTATAATACACAGACTATCAATCCAGGTAAGTAGTGACGACGACATAATTCAGTGAAGCAGCACTTAAGGTTCCGGTCCTCTTTCAAGTTGCCCAAGGAACAAGCTCGGGTTCACAGCACACTGCCACGTGGATGTGCGTTTCCTACGTGGGACAGGCGCTGCAGGAAAGGATCTTCCCAGGAGACCCGTTTCCTTCTCTAATTTAAGGCCCCTCGTTGCAAAAGTTTCTAAAATGGCTAACAACGTGCAGATGCAGAACCACAGGTTTAATATGGCCGAACTTGAGGCAAAGGGGAAAAAACCCGATAGACTTTAATGGTGGACATACATTTATAAATACGTGACCAAGAATCCACCGGAAAGAAAAACCCAAACCAACAAGCTTGGCTGTGAACTCTTGGAAAAGAGCTCTGTGCCTTATGTAGAACACCGCATCTATCTGCATGAACGGCCGTGGGTCTGTTTCCTCAGTTTCCACTTTATGCAGATTGTGGTTTGGGGGCCACATGGAAAACAATTTGATTGACATTTACACAAACAAAACAGTGACTGAACTTGGCAAACAGAAAGGTTGAGGCACACCTTGGGGTACTACTGCCCCCCGCCCCACCCGCAAAAGCTTCCCTGGTATCCGATACAATAGCATCGACTCACGGAGTAACACTGAGGCCGGGAACTGCGCAGTCAGCATTTGAAACGATTATGAGCTACCTTCTGAACCATTGCCAAGTTAATAGACAATGAAAGATAATGAGCTTGAAATTGGGTGTTAAATTGCATTTTTGGTTCTCTCCCTTTTTCTTGAAGTTTAACTGTTTCCTGCAGAAACAAAGTCATGTTTTGATGTATCACTATGTAAATATGTATTTTAGGCCATGAAACAGGAAGAGGCGAGGATGGGCAGACAACTGTATTTCATGTGGGTGGTTTAGATATTAACATAAGACAATTAAAACACTCTGGATTATAAAACCGATAGATTGTAAACTATTCTGAATTTATGTAAAATGAAGATGTTACATTCAAAGTATATAAAAAGGTATATTACTCATGGCCTAGAGCCACCTTCAACACTCGTAAAGCAGATTTATCCTAGTTCAATTACTTAGACTTTTAGTAGGGCCTTTGTGCTGTTATTTCAACAGTGTAAAATTCTGGATTCAAACAACCAGAGATAAGATAATGAATGAGGGGAGTGAATGATGCTGCTATTTGTACTGTTTTTCCTTTTGCCTTTGCCAGTCAGCAAGGAAACTGACGGTGTGACTCCAGGCAAACCCAAGATGCCAATGCCACTTATTAAACTGGAAAATGAAAATATCCAATTCTTGACCATCATCTTTAAGGCTGTTAAAAATGAACACCAAACTTCAGACATGCCATTCACCTGAATTTTTGAGGACTGAAGATTTCATTAGGATGGGAAGAATTGCTTAGCCTCATTAGTATAATTGTAGAATCTTTCCTTTACTTCCTTTTAAACTAATGAATTACATTAATCCAGGTTCATTTTTATAAGCCTCTTGGGGCTAAATGTAAAGGACAGTCATCTTAGAACACAATAAATTTTTTTAAAAAAGCATGTACCGTGTGGTAAGTGCACGTATTTCATAAGACCTAGGTTAATACAACTGGCATCCAGTTTAATTAATCCTTGTTAGTGTAACAACTAATATCCCTCCCTAGCATGTTTCCTTTAAACATTAGTATGTTAATTAAATGTGTTTTTTAAAAATTTTTTCTTTGTACTTCAATATGGCATTTACACCATGTAAATCTCTTCTCAATAACTACCTTATAGAGATGTTTTCTTACAATGTCTGGTCTCTTGCAGAAATTCTGAAGCCTTTTTGAAAGCTGCTCAGGTGTAGAATACAGATATTCAGCTGCAGGAAAAACAGATACATTTTTAATGAAACAAAAACCTCAAAGCACACACTCGATATTAGTCACTTTACTAATTAAAAATGCATATTGCTCTGTGCCGCCTCGTGTTTTACATTATTTAAGCATGATTTTATAAGGTTACCTCAGCTCACAAGGATGTTTAATGCTAAATAAGACTGTGTAGTTGTGATGTTTAGACATCTCCTTTGGGTGATTAAAATACATTATTCTAATGTAACACAATGCATATGTGATATAGTTAGTGATGAGAATTTTTTCAAGAACTGGTACCATAGCCGTATGTGCCCTGTACAACAGTTGCATATTATTAACTAGTCGATTGTTTATATAATTTGGTGTGACTTTCAGGCCTCAATTTTTCTGTGTGTATCATTAAAAAAAATCTGTAAGCTATTGCAGCAACACCGACCTGCTTATAAAAATCCATCATGATGGGATGTGTATGCTAACAATGAAGAATGCTATTTGAAAACTTGCTTTTTTGTTATCTTAAAAGAACAGATGGTAAATATAAGCTAACTCTAATGTATTAGAACACATAAAATTTTCCTTAACACTAACATGTTGACTTGCCAAATAAACAATTGCTCCTGCCTAAGTTAATTTTCAAACTTTCTAATTTAGCATTTGACTGTGTATACTACATCAGGAATGAAGAAAGTGCATTAGAGCTTCTACCTGGGAAGATTTCAGGATAAACCAAGTCCTTGGGACAAAGTGGGTAACAACCACAATACACGGCTTCCAACCTAAAGAGATTTTAGAAAGAGAACAAGAATATCTTTTTAAAAACCAAACCAAACCAAACCAAAAAAAACATGTTCCTCTCATAGTCAGAGAGCGGTTTTGTTTGCTGAAGTTCACAGGCTGATTTCAGAGTGCAGTGGAACAAAAACTGTCGTCGGCAGTTCCATTCTAAAAGCCCAAGCTGCTCTTTTAAAAGATTTTATTGATCATATATGAATTTCATAGAACAGAACCAACAGCATATGTTTTGTTCACTGAATTAATCAAAGCGCAGCTCTGCATCTTTTTTTTGTTTTTCAAATACTGTTTAACACATTTCATCATCCGCAGATAAACACATGTAACAACAGAGTAAAGTATGGACAGCTTTTCTTAATAATGCTGCCTAGCCCCAGAATGTTCATTTTTCAAAAATGTTTAAATGAAATAGCAAATACTTCACTTTAACACTATAGCCGTGGAAATGATCGAGGCACTCTTTAAAGCTTCAGGGGAAAAAATTACAATCTGTTGTGATGGGGCATTTTCATTTAAGCTCATGCTTCAAAACAATTTGCTATTATGCAGAATGTAAAACTATACCCACCCCCTTCCTTGATGGAAAAAACTTTTATGAAGACTGCGTTCATGAACATTTTGCTTGCTTGCCTAAAAATTCAGATCGCTTTTCTAGTTTATCAGAAAAGGATGTCTGTATTATTACGCCAACACAAAAAGAAAGTTTCACTTTGCGAAAGGGTTTCCCCCACCCCCGAAGACCAGCGAAAAGAAGCTTTCTCCACATATGGGTAGTAAGGGTTAAGTCGAGCGCGAAGGCACTGTGTCTCAATGGTTGTTTTTACCCCTGCATAATGGCTATCGATCTGACTTATAACAAACTTTACAGGTAGCACTGCAATTTCTGTTGGTTAGAAATTATGCAGTAAAGTTCAAAACACTCTTCAAAATATATTTATTTTATGAGAAACTTTGAATGACATCCAAAATGTTGACCAAAGGCGGAATTTTATTTTGAACTGTAGATTTTTTTCAACCCCAGAATAATTTGAAGTCATGTCAATGTTTACCTTGTTTATTTACAGTGACAAAGTACATGCAATTTAAGCTGTTCTTAAGTGGGTGATGCTTTCCCTATTTTTATGTTAGCTGAAATTAGTTTGAAAGAAAAATCTTCACTTTGATGCTGCAAAGTTTGAAAAAATACTGAGCTCCAGGCTTTGCTGCTAACCTGGTACAAGTTGCACAAAAAGCACAGTCTATTTACCAATTATTCATTTCAGAGATCACACTAATATTTAACATTATTTCCCTGAAACTCAACAAAAGTTGTGAGCACAAAAGCCAGTAATATTCCTTATGAACCAAAAAAAGGAGAAATTTATCTGAAATCACTCCGTTTTAAAATGCGGTGCCAACTGAAAAGCACATACATATGAACATTCCCTTGTAATTACTTAAATCAAGAGTGAAGTCACAGGCATTTCAGAAAGTGCACGTGTTATCTGCTATTTAATAATGGACTTGAATTAGAGTATTCTGTTCCCTGAAAGAAAATCGCAGGTCAAGTTACATTTTGAGTCATCGTATGAGCCCATACCATGCCATTTCCAAAAGGCCTCTGCTAATTAAAATTCCATAAAAGAGGAATGGCGTTTTGTGAATTTAAAAAAAAGAAATGACAAACTCTGCATTTTGACTCCTCTGTGAATTAACTTATGCATGCTTTATTTCCAATCAGGTTACAACAAAACAAAACAAAAAGCAACCACCCCGAAGCTTGTATTTTTATCTTGTTAAAATACTAAACCTTACTGTATAGTCTCTTTAGGTTAGGACTATGTTTTACAATACATTAAGAAACAGACTGATATATTT